TGGCTCTTTTAAGCTACCAACCTTGCCGTTAACAGCCTTAGCTCACAGTACCATTGAAGTTCCTTAAACTTAAACAGCTTAAAACTCAGTGATGCACTCAAGCCTAAATCCTAAAGCACTTGGTCTATGGAAGACTGTGGTCTATAGCAGGGGCCCTAACTCCATTTTAAGTCTTGAAATAGTTCAGATGCCATTTAATTATGTTATTTTCCCAATGCTTGCTGACCATTAAGCCAGCAATGTGGCTATACTTTAACAAGTCTGGGGTGAGTTCAGGGAAGGGAAGTTTGCCTTCAGTAAGAGTGTGGTTAAAGGTTGATTAACTAGTTTGCAGAAAGTGCTTGTATACATCTTGTCTGGGTCTTTACCAAATGCAGGCAATCAGATGCATGTTATCTAATTTAAGTGGTGGGCCCCGTTATTGCCTTGTAACCAGCCATTTTATAGCTAAGACTTTGAGTCTCGTGATTGAACCATATCCTGAGAGCTGTGTAACTGAAGCCCCAGAACCAATCCTGTGATCTGTGTTCATCTGATGTTATGTATGCCCCGTAATAATAGCTCTTTCCTCATTTCTCTAGTCCTGCCTGCAACAGTGATGGGCTGAATTGCCACCGATCTTGTGAGGATTTCCTTTGTTCTTGAGTACAGTGAACCCTCGTTTATCGCGGTTAATCGGTTCTAGACCCTACAGCAGGGATAAATGAAATTCCGCGAAGTAGGATTCCTTATTTGGAAATCAAATATTTTCGTAGTTAGAGCATAAAGGACATGAAAAAACACCCTTTAGTCACCATTACACGCGTATTACCCAATTTATTAAACGAAAAAGGGAAAATACAGTAAAACATTTTGGATGTTACAATGATCATTTATTATATTATTTATGGCATCTAGTTTACAGTATTAATATTTCACATACAGTATTATTATACATAGTTCTTACAAATACTGTAATCAATAGCCTATGAAATGACTTAAGGGATGTACTCTACAGGTGGGTCGCCGTCTTTTTCCTCTGAAGGAGC